CCAAAAGAAACAGATTAGAGAAAATCTGTATCCCAAAGCCTGGGAGAACTAAGATCTCAAGCAGAAGCAGTAGCCAAAACCATCTGAAATTAGGAACATGTTAAGGAGGCAGCTTCTGGTAGAAGGACACCACAGGACATGCTTTCTGCACATGGCCTATAGTATTTTTTGCCATAAATCAAGGTTTCCCTGTACACAGCACACAAGCTAGAAAGGCAGGAGAAAGTTTGTTCTACCTTGCCTCAATTTTCAGATGACAGGAGCACCATGCTCCACTGTCCTGCATTCCCTGCATGCGCTAAAGCTCCATGGACAACAGTGGAGGTAAGGGGAGAAAACAATTGCATTTCCAGTCCCTTGTGAGTAACAATAAACCTAATACGACTTAAGCCTTGAATTTAGCATGTTTTCTCTTTCTCTCCCTCTCACAATCCCAGCTCTCAGGCTCTTTCTGTCCCCCAGCTAGAAAGGATACAGGCTACCCCAACTAAAAGGCCACATGTGTTACCCAGAAGAGAGGAGTGAGGAATAAACCAGGTCATACAGAGCATAATCCACGGCACCAGCACAATGGGCACATTAAACCCAAAGAGAAGCGCTCTTCTCATCCGTGACCGAGTTGTAGAAACACCAAACATGGCAAAAGCAACTGGAATAAATCCTTTGGCATCTTCAACCCCTGAAAGCTGAGAAAAGACGGCCTCAAGGCTGAGAAACAGCAGGGCAGAAGAAATGGCAAAAGCAACAGTGAGGAAGCAATGCTTCACTGTGCCCACGTTCTTCTCAAAGCTGCCTGCAAAGTACCAGATGATAACGGCGCTGCACGCCAAGGATATCAGATCTTCATAGACAAAGATGAAGGTCACCAACCTATGAACTGAGCAAACAGCTTTTTTAGAGAAGTACCAACAGAAATAAATTTACTTTGGGCCACTGGTATTTTAGGCATGATTAGATGGAAAGAAAATAAGGCAGAAAACCAGAGGGCTAGTCAACATCTTCAAGCCTATGAGGGCGTGGAGGGCCTTTACAAGCACACTGGCCAAAGTGCTAATTACAACCAATGTTAGCTCAGCCTGGAGGCAGCCACAGGAATAGGCCCTGCTGGGGTGGCCAAGCCGCAGCGCGTGGCACGCAGCAGGTCAGACCAGGAGCAGGCAGCACAACAGCAGCTCAGGTGGGCAGGCAGGGCCAGGGGGCTGGAGGGGCACCCGGGCAGGACGGCTGAAGCCCCCACTGGGCCGCGTGAGCCAGCCCCCAAGCAGGAGCAGGGCTCTGCAGAGCAGGGCAGCAGGCCCGGGAGGGAGCTCCCAGCGGGTGCGACCGCGAGGGAGGCTTTGGGGCCGAAGGGGCAGG